CAGAATCTTTTCTTATTGACTGTATGTTAGCACCTTGATGCCTTACCTGTTACAGGGACAACTGGCCAATTTTTGATGCTGCTGAACACATATTTTTTGAAAAATAAATTTTAAAAAACTGCTAATTCAAGCATGTCTTTTGTTTCCTCTACTGTACTAAAAACTGTAACTCTAATACTGAGGTAAAACTTGTACACAATCACACCCTTAGCAACTGTATAGTAAATGTATTAATAAGGTCAATGTGTTTTTCTTTCTTTTCCCTCTGGTGTTTCTGGTGTGCAGACTGCAGGACATGTCTGTGCCTGTTTGCCCATCCTACTCCTCCTTACTTTGCACTGTGATGTCATCACACCAGCGTGTGCTTACCATTATGGTCTGAACCTGGTGCTACAACAGTCATCTCAGTAAGCTACTGATGATGGGTTCACTCCTTAACCTCAGACACTGCACACAGGCATTACAGGAGGATGGCTGTTTATACCAAGTCCCAAACACTGTAAATTGTGCGTCCCTGTCCAAAGAATTATCACTAGCCATCTAACCTACTGTTTAAATTAAAAGAAGTCAAGGCTAACCCTCAAAACGTGGAGCTTCGATAAGTATTTCATCTCCCTTTCTGTGGAGTGTGAAGATTTGCTGATGATAAATTAGCAGCAGCTGATGGATACAGAAGCTACTTCTATAATAATATGTCATAATGAGCTGTATAACTGTGGACCTTGTTGCCAGTAGCGGCTTATGCAAACTGCCTTGGTTGTTAAAGTGTAATATTGTAGTCATGCATTCCTGTCCTCTCTGCAGCCACTCCCAGGCAGGTGATGTGACAGTGACCCTTAGACAGGCATACGTAAAGGAAATGCTCAAGCACTATCAATACAAATACACCCACTGGGGAAGTGGTTTGCTCTGCCCACTGGATGCTCTGGATGTACCGTACCAAGGGAGAATAATGTATTATGAGCGCCTGTCTGGATCTCTGGTGGATGATAGAGTAAGACATTTGTAGATGCAAGTACCAAATATGGACGGCTGCAGCTGTAGGCTTGTTGGAAATGCACACAGTGCAAGCATTCACACCGTAAAACAATTCAAGTGCAATGTACCACCACACACACACACACACACACACACACACGCACACGCACGCACGCACACACACAGACAGACAGGCAGACAGACTCACACACTCACACACACTCACATACACAGACAGACAGACAGACAGACAGACACACTCACACACACTCTCTCACACACACACACACACACAGGTATTTTTCTGGCTTTCAAACAGGTTCTGACTGGTTTTTCTCACCATCAACTCTCTTTGCTCTTCTAGGTTTTTGAGGAATGAGGAGAACTCTTGCAAAGACTCATCTGAAGGAGACACAAATAAAAACAATCACACACTGTAACATAATAAAGGCTGCTCATTCTGCCCCACTCTTTCAGTGTCTCACCCACATGTAACCTAAAAGATATTTTGATTATCAGTTGCACGTGCACACCAATAACTGCTCTTAGTTTGCTGGTCGGGAAAAAACCCTAAACAAATATTTGCAGAGCACGTCTATGTGGTACAAAAGTAGCAGTTAGCTCCGGTCATGTGAGAAAAGTAAACCCACACTTACCAATGCATCTCTCGTCATCTGTCTTTGCATCTCCGATGTACTCAAACTGAAACTCTCCCAGGCACTGGGCAAACTTTCGCTGTGCCATCCCAAGCTCTAAAAGAAAATTTCAAATATAAAAAAAACATTAAATGCAGCATTGTTTGCATATTTTCCACCTGCATGCCAGACAAGAACAAAAATGTAATTACAAGTATGTGTTTGTGTTATAAATGAAAAGGTAAGTTATCATGTGTTTTTTGTTTTTACCATTATTAGCATCAGTAGAAGTATGAATAGTTCCCTGACGAGCGATGTCGTTACAGTGAGAATGGAGCTATTAACCTGGGACAATATGTGTAATACGGCTACAGTGACAGTTACCAGATCTATCGTCTTGAAGATAAACATTTAGACTACGCAGGGTAAAATTATTTGTCTTTTTTTTTTTTAGTGCAAAAATACAGTCTGACAGATCCATTGGTAGACAAATAACAAAATATAATTTTTTTAAAAAGCAGGTCAGATGCATTTAACAGTTACCCACATGGCAAACATCCTGTTCGTCTACAGTCTGCTGCTACATCCTGTTGCACATCAAACTCTTACCACCAGTTAACACATGCCGCAAAACAGAGCAAACTATATTTAATCATCTGTGTGCAAGTCATACTTTACACAAGCAAGGTGTGAAGAAAAAGCATGTAAGACCTAAATGCTGGATACCCCCTCAGAGGTATATGTAGTATACAGTAGTATTTAGCTTTTTCAACTGAAGTACTACTGACAAAATAAAAAGTTGTTGTCACAACATTTTTGTATGAGCTAAATATTATCTTTTGTTTAGTAAACCATAGCAAACCATTAGCAACAACAATGATTGGACTGGGTTTTTATAAAAGTTAAGTATTTGGTTTCTATCAACCATGCATTCCTCAGTAGTGTGTAATGTAAACTGTGAAAATAAACATTTATACCACTGGTGACAACACAAGTGAAATTAAACAGTATTGCAAACCTAATATCACAAAATCTAATCTAAAAGCAACATATATCTCTCATTGAGCAACGTCAAGCATTACAATCACACATCTAAAAAAGACAATCATGTTGTTGTAAGTAGCTGAGATTTGGAGGATTTCAAAACAAAAAAAGGCCCAACACAAAATATCCTGGCATAAGAATCAGTCAATTAATGCCCATCCAACCATTTCTCTGTTAGCCTTTTTAGTACATAATGCCTCTGAATGTTAACAGCTACCTTGACTTATTTATTGCACTGACTGCAATGAGGTGTCTAAACAACAATCCAAAACTTTTTTTTAAATTTGTTTATTTGAGCTTGCTCATTTCTTTCCATGGCTACCCAGTTGCTTACACACTCCAGGTTCTCTGAGCACTCTGTGTACACATGCTATGGATTAAATCTACAGTCGGGCCAAAAGCCCAAACATGTGAGAGGTGTTGGACAATGTCTGCCTGAGCCTGGCACAAAGGGCACAAGCTTCTGCCTCTGTCGTCTATTTCAAACACACTGCCGGTCACTCTTCAGCCCAGTACCAAATCTATGCAATCCCAAAGCACACAAAGAAATGTGAAAACAAAACACCTGTGGCTGACTCCTCCGGCCGATTTGTCAAGAACTACAGGAAGCTAAGAAGCTGTTCCAGACAATGGGACAGTTTGCGTAGGAGGTGCATTACAGTATTTACAATTGCTGGTTCTTTAGGTAGGTCTTTATATAGCACTTGCAGGAAATGTATTTTCTTGTGCAAGATTACCTTATCTACACGTAGGAATCTAGCAAATTCTATTCTAACGGCAGTAATAAAAACACAAGGATTCATGGCTTGTTTATGACTAATAATAGTTCCTTGCTTAGTGCATGAACTACTGCAAGACACTGCACGGACTAGCTTTAGATCATTAGTCACCACTGGACAAGGTCTACATTTCCCTTTTTCAAATGCCTCTTATACAACAAAATGTGACTCTGTACAAGCATAATTAGGAGACGCTGACAAAAGTAGCAGTGGAGTGTCAAATCCTCTGACTCAGTCGCCTCTTTAAAGACGATACTTTGGTAAGGTCAGAGAGAACAGGAGGGAAGTGCATTCAGGATGCCTTATTATTGTCAGACAATAATGATATAAGTTGATTAGACAATCATCTAGAGTACAAAAACTATATTACAAACTTGTGTCAACCACCCAAAGTACTGGTGGAGCCTATATTCCTAAAATGTTACTAATATACTGAAAACATTTCACAAAGTTTCTAACCACAGAGGTGACTTAACTGAAGTAAACACAACCTGATCAATGTTGTGTGGGAGTGTTTAAGCATGGGCTTCATTGCATTATTTTCAAAATAAAGGTATGTCAAATATAAGCCTGCCAGGTCATTATTTTAGGAGCAAACACGTACATGCTGAACGTGGCAATTTTCTTTGATGTGACAGTAAATCTAGGAGGAATCTAAACCACACAGACAGCAAGAATCCAGCCCAGGGTGTGCAAGTCCATAAAAGGTGACTCTGGTCAGTCTGCTCTTGCCCTTAATTTGCAGTAAGCGAAACAACTGCAGACAACACAAACAGTCCTATGTTTGCATGTTCTCTAACAAACTGATAACAAGCAGCAAATAATCGTACAAGTCCAGTAGGTGGAGACGGGGCCTGTGGTGCCAACTGCATTGCAGCTATTTCCATACCCCACTACAGCCGAAATGATTCAGTCTCTTGATCAATTAGTCAATCAAAAGACAATTAATTGCAACTATTTTGATAATCAATAAGTTGTTTCCATTTGAAGGCGTTATCTTGGGATTTTTTCACCAGTTTCGACACATTATCTTATAAACATTAACTAAGAAAATACTTATCAAAAGTAGCTGCACCCCTGTAGTCCACTGTGTTTTTACTGTCCCCTTATGAAACACAGTGTAATAAAGGGGAAAACGCTTGAGTGTTTAGAATGTAATATAATACGCCAACAATGAGTCACTGTCTCACCATGTGGTGAGAGAATGCATTTTCATTTTCATTCCCATTTCATTGAGATCAGTGTGTTGCTTCTGTTTTCTCATTTCTACTGATGAAGTATCTGTTCTAATGAGCTGTTTGTCAAGTAAGCCACAGATTTATTAATGTGAAAACCTGTTACAGCAGGCAACTAACAGAATATCCAAATAACATCAGATTGACCTCATCATAAACTTGCAAAATGAGCTTCACTAGAAATGAGATAATTTTACCAGGGCTTTATTTGACACTGTTGATCACAGCACTCAAGGATTAGGATGAGCTACAAATGTTACTCCCGATTTTTTTCACTCATATCTCATAAACATTTGGTTACCAGGGAAACTTCCTCTCTCTGAAAACTGAGTGAAGTATCCCACGATGGGAAGCGCCCGTAGTGAGATCCTGAGCAAAGCTTGAAAGAGGACATTTTTGCTGTTTCTGTTTCTGTAAGTGCCTCTCAACTACTGCTTTCCCCAAGGCTTGATCCTAGGCCTCTTGCTATTTTCCATGACTGTACCCCATCGTAGTGACTTCATTTGAAATATCTATCATTTACTTTAATTGCTGTAACTCTATAGTCTTTGCCCTTTCAGCGATCCAGGCTTGAATGACCACGTTTCCTGCAGTAAGAGCGTCTCAGCTTTGAAGCAGTTTGCCAGCGAAACGCAGGGAAGATGAGTCTGACTTTTAAATGCTTGCTCAAAACCTTTCAGAGGAAAGCAGACGCTGAATATTGTTTTATTTCATTCTTGCATTGTTCATCTATTACTCAGTCGTTTATGGTGCTGTTGTTGGCTTTCAGCACTGGCAATATTTTTCTTTACTTTTGCATATTTTCCACCTGCATGCCGGGCAGGAACAAAACTTCAATTACAGTATGTGTTTGTGTTGTAAATAAAAGGTAAGTTATCACGTGGTGTTTTCATCGGTATTCGTAGTAGTATAAGTAGTTCTCCTACGAGCTGTATCGTTACAGTGAGAGTTGAGCTATTAACCTGACAGGCAATCAGCAACCCTTATAGTCAGTCATCTGCAGGACTCAAACGATCCCAAAAGCACACAGAAATGTATAGTGGAAAGTTCAGCGGCTCCCCCACATAGTAAAAACATGTTTTGACAACACTACACTGAACCTTGACACACCTGAACAAAGCCACAACACAGTACATTGTTTCTGACGTAAGGTCAGGGCAGTATCCAGTGTCACTGTACTGTAAAAAAATAATGACAAACTGAAGGTGTGATGACAGTAAAAGTCTACGCTATTCAAGCATTCTTCAGTGCATGCTAAGTATTCTACAGTTTTTACTGTTTTATTGCAGAACGAACATAGTCAATATACATATTTCTGAGGGGATTTATGGCTTTGCTGCATTGTGCAAACACAGATTCACTTAGGAATGAGGTGCTGACAGTTTTTGTCTGTCATAATTTGCATCTTACACTTATAGAACAACTTGTGTTTTTTTGTTTTCTGACATACACTGAAGTCTTGGTACCAGGGAGCAACAACGACTGAAACAAATCTGGGTCTTATGCAGTTTACTAGCACATTAAACATATCCTTGCTTCAGCAAAAGCAGGAACAAAGCTCGCATTACTGTGGATAATTAATGTGTACTCCAAGAACAGTGATGTCAATGGATAGGTTTGCAAGCTCTTTATTAGAGCCATATGTGAGCATGGTGCACAAATCACATCCATCCACAATCTGATTACACAAGTTGCATGTTTGACTCACAGTAGGGTGGACAGCTAATATGAGACTATATCAGGCCAAGCTGTGCACTTCATTACATAAAACAAGAAGAATGAATGTTATCCGGTTACATGAAGCTCCAGTAATACTCAGCATCAGGCAACATTCAGAGAAGGGAAAAGAGCCACGGCGTTGTGTACCTGTATCATGTCAATTGAAGTTTCAACAGCATAGATCAACTGGATACAATCAGTGGAGCAATAAACAAAGTGTCAGATGAGAGGTCTGCGTAACAGATTGAAATGATAGCTGCAGTTCTGGAGGAAACAACTATCACACGATAGAAATACCACACACACCAGGGCACGTAAGAGTCCAAGGCAAAGGCTTCGC